TAAATATGCCCAATGGCCTGTGATGGACACTAGATAGGGTGGGATCTGAGTTACTACAGAGAATTCTTTCCTGGGTGCTGGCTGGTGAGTCTTGCCCACATGCTCAGGGTTTAGCTGATCGCCATATTTGGGGTCGGGAAGGAATTTTCCTCCAGGGCAGATTGGCAGAAGCCCTGGAGGTTTTTCGCTTTCCTCTGCAGCATGGGGCACGGGTCACTTGCTGGAGGATTCTCTGCACCTTGAGGTCAGTAAACCACGATTTGAGGACTTCAATAACTCAGACTTAGGTTAGGGGATTGTTACAGGAGTGGGTGGATGAGATTCTGTGGCCTGCGTTGTGCAGGAGGTCAGACTAGATGATCATAATGGTCCCTTCTGACCTTAAAGTCTATGAGTCTATGAGTTGTCCACATAGCAATTGTGTAGATATTTAGCAATTAACTGGCAGAGTTGGCCAATGGTAAAATTGACCATGCAGACTAAATTGCCCTTTCATCCTTAAAGACCCATAAAACCAGGTTGAAGGTGCACAGTGGGCAGGAGAGTGGGGGTTGGAAGTGATGTAGGGACACTTGCATTTCTTATGATGATGATTCTTATGACAGCAAAAACCAGAAGGATGGTGTGGTAGTTGAAACATATGTGATGTGGAGTCTATTCCTGCCTCTGCACTGACTTTTGCTCAGCAACCTTGGGCAAGCCTCTCTACCACAGGTTCCCCATCTATAAAGCGGGTGTAATAATACTTCTCTTCCTCACAGAGTTTAACGAGGTTTCATTCATGAATATATTTCTAAAGTGCTTTGAGATCTTTGGAGTGAAGGCATCACAGAATTGTTAATAGAACTTCATTAAGACTCATAAAAGCCAAAATATCTGAAAAGGTCACTCATCTGAAGGTCCTGATCATGTTTAAAAAAAGCATGGACTTTTTTTTTTAAACTAACCTTCACAAAAAAGCCAGCCTGTGAATTATATGGTTTGAATTTGGACCAATTTACTCTATTCATCCTGCCTGCAACATCTCTTACACAGAGAAGAGTATTTTTAACAACACTGAACTCATCCCTGCCAAAAAAAAGTTCAAAGTTAATTTTACCCTGACCAAGATGGACACGTATGACTTGCAACAGGTTAACTGCAAGGGGAAGAATTATAATTATTGTTTAAAACAAGCATTACACGTGGTAAAGCAAAGTTAGTGTTGATCCTTTTGATTATAAACCTCTCTAAGTCTAAAGCCGAAACAAGATAAAAACACCAGACTTAGCCTTCTTATTGCCTATAATCCATGACAAGAATCCTCTTTACTGAAGGAGTTAAAGTTTTTGCAATAAATCTAGTATGCCACAAGCTAAAATTTTTGACAGCCAATCTGGTGTAATGCAACAAATCAGTGTAACATAACAAACAGCAGACGCATTCTGTGGCACAGCGTCCCCATAAACTTCAATCTCTGGGTAAAAATCTTGATTTATTATATAGCTTTTGGACAGTTACGAAAGAAAATTTGCCAAAGATCAGAATAATCAACTCTTTCACCCAAGCAGTTTTTTATGAAAGAATAAAGCACAGAATGGGTCTGAGCAAAATAAATAAAAATTCCACACTTTTAACCCACAGAACCTTTTGCGTCATTCATAAATATTTGCAGACATTAACAATCTTTTATCATCAAAAAGGCACTCCAGCCTTCAAAATTAGGGCTTTTTCTTAAATTTTCCTGTATTTGTAGCCGTCTAACTATCCTGTTAGTGCCATTAATAACTTGTAAATACTTACATTTGTCAAAACAGGGCTTTTTAAAGATGCATGTAGCTAATTTCCCCTAAAAACGCCTCTGTTTTGCTAAGCTATTCTCTGCAGGTTATAAAAATAGTAGTATATAATTTACAAATAGTATCTGTAATAGGATTCATTGTTGTGAATGTCTGAACTATATGTTTTCATCCACTGAAAGGGAAACTAATACATCAGACTCCTCTTGGAAATGCTAGTTGTTTTAATGCAATTTGCTTCTCCTTATTTTGGTCTCATGAAGAGGGTTGCAAACAGAAACATACATTAGCCATTCATAATAAATATACTAGCCCCATTCAGAGCATGTAAAGGCATTTCTGTTGCATCATTCTGAACAGCCCTGCTGTTCCACTTGCCCGTGTAATTAGCACACAATGCAGGCCAGAGAGTTTCCTGATAGAGGCGCTGTGTACTTAGGACGAAATAAAATAGTAACAGTAAATAATAAATAAATAAAATAAATAAATAAAGGCTGTTTTGACATCTGACCCAAGAAATGGCTTCTTGGCTAAATGGCACTTCCGTAAAGATGTTCCCATTGTTTGTTGATTTATCAAAAAAACATTGCTACTCACTGAAATTTAGATATTTGTATCTGAGAAGAAGTGGGGGGGGAGGAGTTATTAAGCAAGTCTTTCAGTAAGACACCAGATGATGGATAGTCAAACACAGAGTCTCCTGTAAACACAGAGAGAACCAAAAGGTATGAACTGACTCATAATTGTGTCAACACAGGTTGCAGACCCTTGGTTTATTTCAGCCTTCCTGTTTTTCACAGATTTCTTTTCACACTGCACTTTTTAGACACAGTCTCTTTTCAATACACCTTAGTGGGGTGCAGAAGAATAAAAGTTTTCACACTGAAAGGTAGACATTTTTACACACACACACACACACACACACACACACACACACACACACACACACACAGAGTGT